ATCATTTTCAAAGGAAGCCTTTCATAAGCTATGAAGTGGAATGCCATGCCCTGACAGAAAAAAACAAGAATCATAATTATCAAAAAAAAAAATCATAATTGTAGGAGCGTGACGTGGATGATAATTATAGAATTCTCTCCAAGAATTGATTTAGCCTTTTTTAATTTTAATTTTATTTTTTTGAAAATAGGTAATGGAACCTTTTGTTTAATTAGCAGTAGCAACCGAAGAATTACCATTCAAGAAAAAGGTTGTAGCTTTTTTAGAAAAAAAAAAAAAAGAAAGAAAAAGGTATTAGCAGAATAATTAATTTAGTTTCTCTTCTTTTTTTTCTTTTCTTTTTTTAACAAAGGAAACTACGAAGATAGAAAACAAGGAAAAAATTTTAAAAATTTTATTCAGAGTACTTTAGGTAAATTAAAAATTAAGATACAATCTACTTTGTATGAACTATACTATAATAAAAAGATGTTATTGTACACTTGTGCAGAACAAATGGCATTACATCATTTTTTTAAATAAAATATTCCTAAATATCTAAGTACTTTTTTTTAGAATAATTGTCATTTTTTATTTTAAATTTATTTTAAATCAATTATTATTATTTTACTTATTTTTAAGATAAACATATTTTTTTACTCTTTTAATCATATTTTAATTGATCATCATATCTCAGAAGTCTCTCCTTACAATATCTTTTATTTTTTTAGATAATATAAATAAACATATATATCATCTTTAAATCTTTAATTTAAAAAAGTTAAAAAATAATAATTATTTTAACAAATATAGATTATTATTTAACATATTTTCTCTAAACAGAATAATTTAAGAACTTTTTCACTTCAAATTTATTGATTAGTAAATTACATTATTATTTTAAAAAATTATTATATAATTTAAATCATATCAAATTGTAAATCAAAATATCTTATTGCACCTGACCCTAGAGGCTCACTAGCATTAGCTAGTCAGTTCGTGCATTCTTCCTCCCTTCGACGGGTTTCGAACCCGTCCCTTGCCAAAATATTCAAAAAAAAAAAAAACAAAAAACAAAAAACCTTATTTTTTTACCAAATCTAAATAAGAGTAATCCTGCTACTAAATGGATAAATACAAAAGG